GTGAGAATCATCTAGTTCCACCAACCATTTATTTCTTACTTCTTCGCCATCACTTGGGTATTGTGTTATTTCTAATACGGTACTATTATTGATAGTGTTTCTTTGATTTTCTACTCCCAATGAAGTATAGTTTTACTAAGAATAGCACAATTATCATCACTGAATGTTTCTTGAACTGATAGACTACTTGTTTCATGCACCTGTGCGCGACGGTCATTGTTCCTGTCCCCAGATAAAATGTTTTGATAATATTTCTTTACTTTTCTTCTAAATGCGCCTCTTCTTTTTGCTCTTATAAGTGAAATTGTCTCAAAGTATCTTTTAATATAATAGTTTTATAGGTAGACAACCCACATCTAATAAACAATTATATTATTTATTTATAGCGCGGTTCGAAATACTACGGAACATTACTAAAAAATTATTATAAAATACTTTAGTTTCATTAGCTAAAATGTTTTATAAGCTTGTCACAGAAATGTTTATAAAATAGTTATACATTTTCCATATAAACTGTTTTATAATTTATCTGCCAAAACGTTCTTGTGATAAATTTATAAAATATTTCAGTTGCCGACAACAAAATAATGGTACTTGCCGCTATAATAAAACAAATTTGCATTTCGAAAGCAATAATAATAATACAATAAAACATAATTGTCGTATAACTTGAAAATTATAAAACTGTTTTGCTGGTTGGGATGTTACCGATATCAACCAAGAGTACCTATTTTTTAGTTAAAGATTCAAACTCTCTTACTTCTATCTAAAAATATTATTTTTGTGGCTTTATCGTAAAGAGTGTAAACAAATTGGCATTATTGTGCTAAAGCTAGTCCGTCCCTGGCAAACCAAATAAGCCAAATTGTTTTCATGGGTCAATTTTTAAGGAGTCTTATCTATTGTCTTTCATATTAAAAATTAATTAAATTACACAACATATTTTAAGTTATTACAAAAAATCGATGTACAGGGGCATCATTTAGGGGCCTGTATCTCCGTAGGGGGTCCCACTAGGGAACAATTTTATAGGAACTTGTCATGTTATTTTAACATCCCCTGTATAAATCCGAAGGATTGCCTACATATTCTGGGACACCCTGTAGATATGTAATACAACCGCACAAAAGGTACATAGATGTTTTAGATTTCTATTAAATTTCTTTACTCACTTGGTCAGCATAGGTTTCTATTGAATTTTGTGCTATTTATTGATATTAATATTTTCCAGATTCCAAACTCTTTCGTTGTAATTTTGTATACCTTTTTTCCAAGAAAAAATATTATATTGTTTACGTATATCATTTGTTTTAATGCTTATAGTGATGATTTGCGATGATTATAAGATATAAAGCAGCTAAACTATAATGTACAAAATTTATTTAACTTAACAAGGTGCGATGTGAAATGAAACAGTTAAATTTTAGTTGCATGAAATCGCACTGCATATTTAACAGGCGTTTTCAACGGTTCCAGAGTACAATTAATCATGCCTTGAAAGATTTAAAGTACTTGGCATGATCTCATTTGTTGAGCAGCATGGCAGCGGCTGTTATATGTTTAGTTTTGAGTTATGAAATCAGATTAAAGATACCTGTAATTTCGCGCCACTATTTCTGTCAAGATGATTAAGTGTGGCCGCCGAAAATCTTTCTTTTCTTCTTTTAATAATTGGAATAATTAAAACATTAAATCTTGTTTAAAGAGGAACACAAATAGCAGAACGAGAAGAGATGCGTGACTCCAAAATTACAATTCATCTACAAATTCGTACAATATTTTCATCAGTGCCTGTTGTAAATATAATGTGAATTTATTTTGCCTCATCCTTTCTAACTGTGTATTTAGAAGAAACACTCAAACACTATAGAATTATGATGGAAATTTCAGTCCACTAACATATGTACTTACCTGATTATTCTAGACCATTTGCTGTAAACTGAGGAAATTTATCTATAGATTTGAAAATGTGCAAAACGTTTTACGTCTGGAAGCTTTCTAGTAGGAACTTTTGTACATACAACGCAACGTTTATAAAAACAAGTTGTAAACAGAATTGAATCCAATCAGGTTAAATTTATATACTTTTATGGACAGTGATCTCTTTTGTTCAGCGCGTTTTAACTTTTTAATCAAACTTTTAACATTCAGCAGATTTATTGTATGTATATAATTTGTGAACAAACAGGGTGTTACCTCAGTAAGTTAAAATATTTAAGTGGGGTATTCCTAAGTTAATGCTAAGAAAAATAGTTTATATAAACCTTTGTCCGGAAGTGCTTAACTTCTGAGATCTGTATCTGTGTTGAAATTAAAATTTTATTTTCTATTTCCTTAAATAACTTTTACGAAAGATAAATTATTCGCACAAAATTTAGTAATCGTGGGTTTTTTGAGGTGAGAAATCATAATTTGGTATTAACTTTTGTGCAGCACTTAGAGGGCGCTACGTACGCCATCATTATTAATTTTAATTTGCTATAACTTTTTGGGCAGAAAAGTTCTGCGATTTTTTATGAATAAACCATATTCCTACACCTTCTTCAAGCAAAAAAGGTACAGAAGGTACTGTTTTCGAGAAATTTGCAAATTTCTGCAAAGATGTAATTTGTCCCTAGGCGTTAAATGAAGACGTTAAGAATTTTATGGTTAAGTATTTTCCAACGGGTCGAGATTCTTTGGTGAGGAGGGCAGAAGCTTGCAATAATGTCGGGGGTAGCCACTTTCAGCAGCTGTTGTAATAATGATTTTGTTTAATTTAATTTCTACACCCTGTACCTCAGAAACAAAGCATTTCCGGACAAAGGTGTATATAAACTTTTTTTCTTGGAATTAACTGAGGAATACCCCACTTAAATATTTTAACGTACTTATGTTACACCCTGTATAAATTGGGTTATAATAATTTATTTTTTTCCTACTGGACCACTTTTGCTACAAATATACGGCAGCAAAAGTATATAATGTTTTATAATTAATGTATTGTTAATATCTGTAATAAAAAATGAACAAAATTCAAAGCATTTTTCATAACAAAGCTTTTCTGTTGACCCAAGTTCTTTCATTAGGAATTTTTGTACCATTTCTTGGCATGTAGGTAATAAATCACATTGCAGTAAACATAATCGACATCAGTAAACTGATGATACTGGTTGTCTGAAATTTATTTACAGGCTTTATGCAAATCAGCCGGTTTATTTTATTTAGGATTTTACTTACTTTCCGTACTCGAATAAGAAAGAAGAGATATTACGACGCTTGATTTAATTATTTAAGGACTAAAACGCATATTTTGATATTAATTGTAAATTTGTCGACCGAGAATAGTCTCGCAAGAGATTAAAACGTGACCTCTAAAATTGTACTTGAAAATTTCATTTATTTTAATCCAATGAAATAAAAGGATTAGAAGTAACAGTTTAGTCTTGAATCTAAAGACAAAAATTGCACTTTCATCTGTAGGTTCGCGATTAAGATGCACTACATTTTTATCAGATACCTACTTATATTTTTCTATGCTATACATGTGTAACATTATTTTTGAACTTTTTAATATTAGACTTTTAGTCTCTAGGCAATTCAATAAAAACATTTATTTTTAACTTCTCTTATAAAAAACAACATTTACTAATGCAATTACAAAGATTGACAAGATAGTTTCATAGATACTAGAGTTGAAAACTGAAGAGAATATTTTAATTCCAGGGGAAGAAATTTTTAGTTTAACACGAAGCCAAAATAACAAAATAATTAGACATTTTAATTTTGTGGGAATATATTATATTTTGTACTTCTTGACCTAACAATTAACACTGACTTGTAAGTATTCTTTGTTATTGGAGGAATTAAAGGTAAGTTACCCGAAAATGAAATGTAAACCTAAGTCATTGAAACTAAAAACTAAGATAACAGTTTCAAATTCACTTTTGGGATTAACAGTTGCACTTTAGTCACTCGTATACACAGTGTATTTAAAATTAATTAGACAAACTTTAATAACGGATTCTATGTCACAAATTAACAAAACATTTTTCATGTAAACGTATTGTCATATTCTATTCCCTCAATTGGTTGTTCTCACAATAGTAGTCACTACCTCAAGCTCAAGAAATTATGATATTATGGATTCCTCTAACAATCTCCCGTACTTGTGGAATGTACGTTGTAGAGAATCTCTCGTTGGTCGGCTACTCTCCATTTCTACTTTTTCACCTAAAACTTGAAATTTTGGAGTAAACAGACAGTAGGATACGATTGTATTGAATGTACAAGGTTTATTGTATATTATTTGTGTAAAATGTCAATTTGGTTATATGCAACAGACTTTATGTAATCGATAATGAAATCTAAAACATACAATGCGTACTGATTAGCCACTTAGTCCTGGCTAGTAACCTGCGAATATCTAGGGTCGACGTTCAATTGTACTGGTCCGCTAGATTCCAATTGTGGGTTTTTGCATTTTAGCAGCTCTTGGAACGGAAAGATTTCTGTCTCTCCTGGGACGACTTTGACCCGTCGGAAGTGGATTGGCAGCAAAGCAGTGATGGCGTGCTTGATAGTCGCTGAACGTTTCCTGAAAATTCCTAACTGATTTCCGGGAAAATTCGAAATATCGCCGATATTCTTGGCGGTAATCGGCGTTCGCGCTGCCACCAACAGCAAAAGACTGGCTCGATGTCATTAGACATATACTGTTCTGCCTGAGTGCTTTTGCAAAAATTTCGGACCACTTCTGGATTGGATTGGAAACATAGGCGAAATTTGAAATGCCACGGAAATGTGTCGAAAACGCTTCGCTTTTGAGATGCGTAATGAACGTTTTGCGATCATTTGTTTCGTATAATGAATGCATCATCAAAATTGTATCATATTATAAGTTATAACACTGTGGTTTTTCTTTACGAAATATTAAAATATCACTTTACGTGACACTAAATGCAGACATTTCTACAAACACTGTGACTACATTCTTTACAATTACATCTTTTTTTTTCCAGTTATGCTACGGAGCAAGCTCGCCGGCACTATCTGACCGAAATCGTTTCCCCACTCTGTTCCGGACCCACCCTTCAGCCACCGTGCACAACCCCACTAGGATAAAACTAATGAAAAAGTTCGGATGGTCCAGGGTGGCTATCCTGCAGCAAGCGGAAGAAGTATTTATATCCACCGTGGAGGACCTGGAGGCCAGGTGTACGGAAGCGGGTACGTACCATAAATTGGATAATGCTACTCGTAAATTGTATCTACATAGTTTATCTTAAATTGAAAAAAGTAATTCGGGGACTTGCGTACGTGATAGTATGGATAAAAATAAATGAAAGGGTTTTGTTTGATGCGTAATAATAATTTACTTCTCCAAACATCACCTTATTTTATGCAAGAATGTGATCAAATATCACTTCTGATACTTTTAATTATTTATTTATTTATTTGGTACACCATTCAACAGAAAATATACAATTACTGAAGAGGGTGGGAACACAATAAGTAATATAAAAAAAGAAAAATGACAGTAACAATTGATAAAACTTAATAAACTGTTTTACATTAATCAAAATAACAGTAGTGTGAAACAGTCATATGCTTTAGTAAAATAGAATAAAATACGATAAACATTATACATATACACAAGGTAAAATGAAAAATGACATAACATAAAATGAATAACAAAACACAAAAGCCAATTAAAATAGGTTCGTTATTGATTTCATGTTACAAGAAAAAAAGTCAATATTATGTTGGAGGCTGTTTTTCACACATGACATAAATTGGTGATGACAATAATAAATTAGTATTAGACATTGCGAGGTACATCATATTCGAGTAGCGTAGATTGGCGCGAAGCACGTGGAAGTTAAAACGTTCCAAAATTTGAGGACAATCGTACACATAATTAATGACTTTGTTTAAAAAAACAACAGAATGCATATCTCGTGTCTCTAAGGACTTTACAATTAAACATGTCCAAAAGAATATCGTGGGAAAATCCAATGTTGGGATAAATTTCTTGAGTTCTGAAGGGCATATATTTAAAGAATTTTCTTGGAATGTTTTCCAAGTTATTTTTGCATACTGAGGATACCAAACTATTGAAGCATATTCCAAGCGAGATCTTACAAAACAATTATATAATTTTACTATTGTAGAAGGATCAGCAAAATCTCTACAATTTCTGATCACAAACCCAAGGCTTCTATAAGATGATGAAGAGACATTGCGTATGTGTTCATGAAAAGATAATTTTTGATCAAACGTTACTCCCAAATCTTTTATATAATTGGGATGAGTAAGAGAGTGATCGTTAATCCTATAATCATAGATTACAGGACAAGTCATTCTAGACAATGTATCATCAGCGTAAAGTAAGAAATTAACATGCAAATATTTATTAATATTATTTAAAAAAATATTGAACATTAGGGGTCCTAAAATGGAACTTGGGGAACTCCAGACAATACATTTATGATTTCAAATTTAAACCTGTATTGTTCATACTGTATCCTCCGAATCACGTACGATTTAAACAAATTCAACAGTCTATGCGCCTAATGATCCGGCAACGCAGTCCCGTCTGTCGTGTCTATCAGTGGGCGATATTCAATTGTGATTGATTTTCTGTTGTTTTTATTGTTTCTCGAACCGTGATTTCTCCTCAAGAAGTCGATTGGCAGTAGTTAACGTGTTAAAATGTTGTCAGCACAGTTTTTAGTTGCCCGTTGAATATAAAGTGATTGGTTGTTATCATGTCTTTTGGTTTTTTTATCTTAGTGAACAATTTTTTGTATAATACTTTGTTTACGAGAAAATTACAAAATGTTAGTTATAATTATGGCAACTCTTATAAGGCGGTACATTTATGGTAACCAAATGATTCATTGTTGGGATGTCCAGGTATGTTTTAGATACTGGTAGCGTTACACCTCGCCCCTAAGGAGGAGAATAAATTGTCGTTATTTTACAAGCGATAAAAGATTTTCCATTTCTTTCAAATTTCATTATTTATTGAATAGAATTTATTAGTGTAGATTGCATGTTAGCTTATAATTGTCATTTGTTACTAATTAATTTAAATATTTTAAAGGTCCTTATTAGGAAATAATTTAATTAGCTATTAATAAATAGCAGGTCGGGATTTCCACCATTCTACTAATTGTACCTACAGGCATTAGGATATAGCAGGTAAACTACGTAATGCCAAGTATTACACACGGATTAGATCTGTGTGTATTGCACTGAATTTACCACTGAAATTCTCAGAGTTAATTAGCTGAAAATATTTAATTAATCCTCTCCATGTCTGTTAGTATATGGAATATGCTAAAGGTTCATTATGTAGGTATAATACAAAGTTATCTAATACGATGTTTTCAGCGAGAGAATGAACAATATTAACAACACCAATTCAAAGTTTTTTAACTAAAACGTAATAGTTTGAATTTAGTAAATGAAATGCAAATACTAGTCAATTATTAGAGTGCTTTTCAGAAATTCATTCGAGAGAAAGCTTTGTGCAAACAAGAAATGTCGTGTAAATATCTGACATGACATCTTCATGCAGACAGAGTTCTATGTAGAATGTATGCAATTTTTAATATGTATCTGATATACAGGATGTCTACTATAAGAGGGCCACTCCTATGGATCTCGCATAATATACGACGCACGTCAAAAATCTTTATATGTTTTTTGTTGCATTTTTTGAGGCCTTTATGCTCGTAAAAACAAATTTGATGGTGATGATGATGATTCCATGGCCAACTTTGTTCATAAAAAACCGGAAAAGTACCAAAAGTTTAGGGTCGCCTAACTTTTTTATTTTAAGAGATAGAGAAAACTTATTATAATAAAATTTCATAGCAAAATTGATATCTTTCACTTAGTGTAAACAGATTTTTAAAATGTCGTATGTAATTCGCTGCGCCCTCTACGCGGGCAAAAATAATTGTCATCACAGCAGGCTGTGGCTACAAAAACTTGCTTGTTTTTTCCTCTTTCATGCGATATACTACATGTTGCTTTTATCACTTATATTTATTAAATTTTTTACAATTTTGGTATAAAAAATATAAACATTTTCGTGTTAATGTAGAAATTGCTGTAGACACTTCAACTACAAATTAATAAATATAATGTACTTCTTTTAAGCAAAATACAGATTTTCTTTCCACATTATTATAATACCTATTGGTCTTTTATTTTTACTTTAGAGAAAACTGAGCCTTCAACATTGTTCTTGCATAGACAAAGTAGCTTACGCTAAATGTAGCACGTTATGAATACAAATGTGTTATCCCAGTAATGTCATCATTTAACAAATTGTTTATTGTTATAGTTTATAGGTACATAACTGTTGGTTTCAAAATTGTTACAGTTCACTATGATCCGAAAAACTACACATCACATATTTGAGAAGTGTACCTAATATGTTTGTATTGTACTATCAATGCAATTTTAATTCTATTCAAGCATTAGCGGAATATAGAAAACCTTCGCTAATAAAATCTGTTGTTAATAAAATAAGTAATGTTGAATTGATGAATTTTAAATAATGTAAATAGGAAAAATGAGCAAAACAGTGAAAAATTGAAGTAAATTACAATTTAGAGACTGATAGTGCAAGAAGGATATTAGAGTACTGTATGTGGTGATCATTTTATATGCAGAAGAATTCTCTGGTCAGATGTGTTTTGTAACAATGGATTTTTTAATAGCAACATTTGCTTCAAATGGACTAATGGTAATTTACACGGAGAAACTGTATTTCAACAGAGATTTTCAGTAAATGTTTGGGTTAGAATTCTTGATACCAAAATAATAGGATAGTAGTATTGATAGTAAACTGATGGGTGCCAGATTTACTTAAAAGAAGTACATTATATTCATTACATCTTTTGTAGTTGGCATGTTTAAAACAATCTATACATTAATCTACATTTTTGATACCACAATTATAAAAAATGTAATAAATATAAAAGATAAAGGCTACATGTAGTACATCGCATGAAAGAGGAAAAAATAAGCAATTATTTTTTGTATCCACAGCCTGCTTAGATGACAATTTTTTTTGTCCGCGTAGAAGGCGCAGCAAATTACTTAAGGTACTTAAAAAATTTGTTTCCACCAGGTGAACAATATCAATTTTGCTATGAAATTTTATTAAAATAAGTTTTCTCTATCAATTAAAATAAAAAAGTTAGACGGCCCTAAACTTTCGGTACCTTTCCGGTTTTTTTATGATTACTCAAAAAGTTGGCCATGGATCTCAAATTTGTTTTTACAATCATCAAGACCTCAAAAAATGCAACAAGACATATAAGATTTTTGACGTTCATCGTATATTAAGCGAGATACATAGGAGTGGCCCTAGGCCATAGGAGTGGCTGGTCTTATAGTAGTTGTATTCTACACCCTCGTGCCAAAATTCTTTGAAATTTGAATTTGTTCATCGATAAGAACTAATATTTTTATTAAAATAAGAACTAGTATTTTTATTAAAACTTACAAATACAAATACTTACATTAGAAATAATGTCATTTATTTACAGTACATTTAATCGTCTTAAAATAAACGCATGAAAATTATACTATGAAACATTTGGAAAAGTTGTTAGAATAATTAAAACCAAATATGATGCACAATTTAATATTCAGAAAAGTTTTGACTCTCTCTAAGTCTATAATACATGGTGTTCTGCAAGCTCTATGACAAACTTTGATGGATGGTAGCTGGGTTAATTTAAATTTTTCTTAACGAATACCGATTTGTTTGTTTAGAAGTTACAAGCATTTTAAAAAATATGATTTCATATTTCAATCAAATAAATAAAAATGATGGTTGGTATAACAATAATTACACAGCCCCACAAAAAAAAATCTGTGCATCAGACTAAACCACTATATCCTTACGTTTTCGAGGTCTGTTTGACCTTGTCAAGTCAGGTTAAAAGTTATTTCAAAGTCAAACCGAGAAAAATCCCCTATGGTGGAAGCAACCATGGTTATTATATGTTTTTGGGGTCGCTGACTCCGAATCCGAAGTCCATTTGACCTTGTCAGGTCAGGTTAAAGGTCATTTCAAGGTCAAACCGAGAAGCGAATCATTCTACACATCTCCTTTCGGAGCAGATGTCATCGTTTTCAATATACTTCATGGTGGCAGAATTGTAAAGGCTCTATTAGAACATTATAGAAATGAGGCTCTTACTTAGATGATTGATGATTTTAATGATGATTAAAATTTGATGATTTTAATAAAGTCAGGCTAGTCAGTAAAGATATTTTCTGTCTTTAATGCAGAGATATTTGGGCTGTCTACATGTAAATATTTCATTACGTACGAGTTATAAAAAATTTTATCATTACTTAATGGAATGTGAATACTCATCTTTCACCTAGAATACAAAACGAATATTACCATATTGTCGATATGTACCATATAACGCACTGAACTGTCTACCAAAATTCTCTCAACTTCAAGCACGGCAATTATCCAGAATTTTTCTTCTACTTAAATGCATTTTTTATTTAGCACTTTAACGCTAAGTGTGAAAAATGAAGAAACAAAACGACACAAATAATAATTATTCTTATAGCAACTATCACTTTTATTTATCAGGCTACTTTGAACAAAATATGAAATTATATATTTTTTAAATGTTTGTATAACTCCTAAACAAAAACGAATCGGACCTGTGCTGACATAAGAAAAAATGTTAGAAATTAACCCAGCTACCATTTGCCAAAGTTTGTAGAAGTCTTTCTATTTTCCTTTTCTAAATAGACATTATCGTACTTGTAGAATAATATCTTACGGAGCTCAATCGGACCCGCATCAATTTTTAAACGCGATGTGACTGGCAGAACAAAGCCCGGGTCTGATGATAAACTTGTCCGTCGCCGGAATCTCGCCCACTTCATTTGAATTTTTATTGCTCCAACTGCAGACACTCCATGGCGCTGACAAATAGAAAATATATGAAACGCCATTACGACCACTTGAACTTCAGTCGCTGTTGATGCGCAGGAAATCGGGTTAAATCAATCCAAACTGATTTGGATCCAAAAGAGTTCCAGCCTTCTTTCTCCCTGGGTTTACTAGATTAATAGATCTGGGGGTCTGAAAAAACATGAACTGATAAATTACGTTAAATACGGGTCGTCTAACTGCGGAATAATGCCAACTGTAAGTACTTTAGAGAGGGGAAGAGTAATATTCAAAATTTAAATAATCACCCTGCATAACTAGGTATAGTAAAAACTTTGTAAAATAAATATGTACGGACATATGGCATTACTTTATTTGGAAACATATTTTTTTAGTATATTTTTACAAAAATATCTTCGGTACAAATATTCAATTATAGTCTGTTTGGAAATGAAAGAGAGCAATAAAACCTCGAGATAAGAACCGGCCATGGGCGTGGTAATATTTCGTTTCAGGTAATTATCGGGTAACACTAATGCTAACAGATAATGGATGTACATTAGTATATTTTACTGGATACATCATAGGGCAGCAGCCAGTGTATTGTGACAGATCAATCCAGTCTTAAAGCTGAATATACGAAGACGTGCTAGTGCAGTAGAGTAAAATTCGACTTGTGTTTAGTGACTATTGTGCCAGTGGATATAATATTGTTTGGGTAAAATGTCGAGCTTATCAGATTACGTACCTGCTAGTAGACGAAGATAATTCGTCAGAATATTCAGAGGATGAATTTTAATATACCTACTTTTTTATTTTCTTTATTGTACATTTATACAACACTACATTTACTCACCATAATTTGAATTTTCAAAATACATATATTTTTGTGTGGAATAAAAGTCTATTCATTAAATTTAAATAAATATTTTGATAATAATATTGAATAATTTTATTTGAATTACTAAAAACCCTCTTAACCCGGTTATGATGCTTAAAGTAGCCTCATGTTTTGAAATGCTGTTTTTATATTGTTTACTTATAAGAGAAATGGACCGAGAAATTGAAGCGGCATAGACAAAGAC